TCCCAAAACCTCTTCTTGTTCTTCCAAGACCAACTGCGGTCCAGCGGGGACGAGTTTGTCACGAAGACCCCGTGGAACTGGCTCGCTAAGCGGTGGTGGTGGTGTCGGCCCTCCCTGCCAGCAGGGGACTTAAGCCAGCAAATTTCAGGGGCTGCGCCTGTACCTCGTGAGCGGACCCCACAGAGCCACGGGTGGTGGCGTCGATCTGAAACTAAACTATAAACTACTTTGTAAAATACTCTTTGGTTCTTTCGGTAAAGTTACTTAGGTATAAAAAATAAAATACCTACGTGACTTTACCGAAAGAACCAAAGAGTATGGATTCCTGCAGTTACGAAAGCTTCAAATCAAGATTACTTTGTAAAATGTATTTTACCAGGTGTAAGAGCCGCACTGAAGCTGTATAGCTCTTTTTTTTCAGAAGCGGCCTGGCTATCACAAATTATAGTGCAACGAAGCGGCTTATCGTCACGTGGACATTTACAGCAGCCGAATAACTGTAAACGCGTGGTGATGTTGACTCTACATGGAGGGAAAACACCGGAGGACACGGAGAAAAATCTACGCGACCACGGAGAGACACGCAGACTCCAAATATACAGCAGCAGGCGTCAAGAGTCGCGATGGACCCCACGAGCTCCTGCGTGCCAGGCGAGGGAGTTAACATCTCGTCACCAGAGCGCCTAACCTCTTGGACGGGGCTCTGGACTCTCGGGTTCCGCCAACGGCAGTGGACATCGCAGAGCTCCTGTGGCGTGCAGAGCTGAGGTTGTTGGTGTTCAACTGCCCCATCAGGCAGGGGTCTTCAGGAAAGAATGCGACCTCCCTGGGAAGCTGCTAGAACAGCTCTCTCCCCGGCTCCCGATACCGGCGATACATCTGCGCCTTGCCAATGTTTTTGTTTTGCAACTCCCAGCAGCTGTCACAGATGCTGCTGATGCTGCACAAATTCTGCCTGAGTTGGACTCCTGCTGCTGCCAGCGCTGGGATGGAGAATCTGACTCCCTGCCCTCCAGATAAAAGTCAACAGTTTCTGGGCACAGGCCCAAAGCGTCAAACGCCCAGCAACAAGCAGCACTATTAGAGGGTTGTAATTGGTAATCATAGTTGACATTTATATAGAATTGAGCAAGGTTCTTATTATTATTGTAACAGAGTGGGGGAAAGAGACGACGGGAGGAGGGAATTCCAGAGTGGAGAAGCACGAGAGGAGTGAGTGACAGTGTGGTGAGTGGGAGAGTGGTGAGTGGTGAGTGGGAGAGTGGTGAGTGGGAAAGTGGTGAGTGGGAGAGTGGTGAGTGGGAGAGTGGTGAGTGGGAGAGTGGTGAGTGGGTGAGTGGGAAAGTGGAGAGTGGTGAGTGGGAGTGGTGAGTGGAAGAGTAGTGAGTGGGAGAGTGGGAGAGTGGTGAGTAGGAGAGTGGTGAGTGGGTGAGTGGGTGAGTGAGTGGGAGAGTGGGTGAGTGGTGAGTGGGAGAGTGGGAAAGTGGAGAGTGGTGAGTGGGAGTGGTGAGTGGAAGAGTAGTGAGTGGGAGAGTGGGAGAGTGGTGAGTAGGAGAGTGGTGAGTGGGTGAGTGGGTGAGTGAGTGGGAGAGTGGGTGAGTGGTGAGTGGGAGAGTGGGAGAGTGGTGAGTGGGTGAGTGGGAGAGTGGGTGAGTGGTGAGTGGTGAGTGGGAGAGTGGGAGAGTGGAAGAGTGGATGAGTGGTGAGTGGGAGAGTGGTGAGTGGTGAGTGGTGAGTGGGAGAGTGGTGAGTGAGAGAGTGGTGAGTGGGAGAGTGGGAGAGTGGGAGAGTGGGAGAGTGGTGAGTGGGAGAGTGGTGAGTGGGAGAGTGGGTGAGTGGTGAGTGGGAGAGTGGTGAGTGGGAGAGTGGGAGAGTGGTGAGTGGGAGAGTGGTGAGTGGGAGAGTGGTGAGTGGGTGAGTGGGAGAGTGGGTGAGTGGGAGAGTGGTGAGTGGGTGAGTGGTGAGTGGGTGAGTGGGAGAGTGGTGAGTGGGTGAGTGGGAGAGTGGGAGAGTGGGTGAGTGGGTGAGTGGTGAGTGGGAGAGTGGTGAGTGGTGAGTGGGAGAGTGGTGAGTGGGAGAGTGGGAGAGTGGGAGAGTGGTGAGTGGGAGAGTGGGAGAGTGGTGAGTGGGAGAGTGGTGAGTGGGAGAGTGGTGAGTGGGAGAGTGGTGAGTGGGAGAGTGGTGAGTGGGTGAGTGGGAGAGTGGGTGAGTGGGAGAGTGGTGAGTGGGAGAGTGGGAGAGTGGGAGAGTGGGAGAGTGGGTGAGTGGGTGAGTGGGTGAGTGGTGAGTGGGAGAGTGGTGAGTGGGAGAGTGGTGAGTGGGTGAGTGGGAGAGTGGTGAGTGGGAGAGTGGTGAGTGGGAGAGTTGGAGAGTGGGAGAGTGGCAGTGTGGTGAGTGGCAGTGTGGTGAGTGGCAGTGTGGTGAGTGGGAGAGTGGTGAGTGGGAGAGTGGTGAGTGGGACAGTGGTGAGTGGTGAGTGGGAGAGTGGTGAGTGGTGAGTGGGAGAGTGGGTGAGTGGGAGAGTGGTGAGTGGGTGAGTGGGTGAGTGGGTGAGTGGGAGAGTGGGTGAGTGGGTGAGTGGTGAGTGGGAGAGTGGTGAGTGGGAGAGGGGTGAGTGGGTGAGTGGGAGAGTGGGAGAGTGGCAGTGTGGTGAGTGGTGAGTGGGAGAGTGGGAGAGTGGGAGTGTGGTGAGTGGCAGTGTGGTGAGTGGGAGAGTGGGTGAGTGGGTGAGTGGGAGAGTGGGAGAGTGGTGAGTGGGAGAGTGGGAGAGTGGGAGAGTGGCGAGTGGGAGAGTGGGAGAGTGGGTGAGTAGTGAGTGGGAGAGTGGGTGAGTGGTAGAGTGGGTGAGTGGGAGAGTGGGAGAGTGGGTGAGTGGCAGTGTGGTGAGTGGGTGAGTGGGAGAGTGGGAGAGTGGTGAGTGGGAGAGTGGGAGTGTGGCAGTGTGGTGAGTGGGAGAGTGGGAGAGTGGTGAGTGGGTGAGTGGAAGAGGGGGAGAGTGAGTACGTGAGTGGATGTGTGAATGGGTGTGTGAGTGGGTGGGTGAGTATATGAGTGGGTGGGTGAGATGTTGTGATTTGTCGTGTGGTGGTTGAACACCGCGTGGTTGTGGTGGTTGCACACCACCTGGTGGTGGTGTTAGTAGTGGTAGTGATGGTGGTTGCACACCGCGTGCTGGATGAGACGACTCAGTCAGCGTCCGTACAGACCGAGTCCTCAACACGGGAGGAGGAAGCCAGCGGAGTGAAGTTCACGGGAACGGTGACCACAGTAGTAATAGCGACAGAAGAGCGATAGGGAGGCGACTGTCCGCTCGTGATTGAGTGGCTGGCTATTTGACACTGTGAGAATCCAGTTTCATCACAGTTGGTCGGGCAGCTGAAAACCTGGCTCTGGATTCAAACCTAGTATCCTGGGTTCGAATCCATGCCACTGACCTGCTGGGCCACCCGGACACCTACATGAGCCCCCTCGTTTATCTCGGGAGAGTCTCACCGAGTCTAAAGACTCTTGTCAAGTTCGTTGCAGCAGTCGTGGGGGGATGGGGCGATGCTGCTGCTGCTGCTGTGATGCCAACTGAGTGATTCGCAGGGAATGTTTCACCATTGGGGATGTGGGGTTGGTTGGCCAATGTCAGTTCCACTGTGGGTGTGGGGTTAGCTGTGGAAGGAGGAAGCCCGTGACGAACTAGGGGGGGGGAGGTGGGGGGGCGGAGAACGTGCGGGAATTCATCTTCTTTGGTTCTTTCGGTAAAGTTACGTAGAATGAGAATAAAATAATAAATTGATAAAATAAAATAACACAATAAAATTATCACGTTTCGGCCACAACACAAGCGGCCTTCATCAGGTGAAGGGACGAGACTGTCTGGAGGACAACGCTGGAGCGAACAAAGCCACGTGGTGCTAAAGCTGAGGGTAAGAATCCACCCATTTTTTCGCCATATAGCATTGTGATATATAACGACTTATTGTTGGTACCTTAGCTGATTGGAGAATATATAGAGTTAATTGATAACATTGAGGTAATTTATATTTTAGTTTCTATTGGTTTACTATATAGTATTCATTACATAGTGTAGTGTATACCCAGTTACTGTTAATAGCTCAGATGTGTAGGCTTTGACTTTAACATAGCCATTTCTGTGACCAGTCACAAGCTAATCACTCAGCTATTTCAATGCTAAATTCTATGATAATTCCTTTGTCAAGGCGCTTTGTTTCTTCTCACACAGGTTAAAGGTCGCGATCTGAGCATGGCTTTGTTCGCTCCAGCGCTGTCCTCCAGACAGTCTCGTCCCTTCACCTGATGAAGGCCGCTTGTGTTGTGGCCGAAACGTCGTGATAATTTTATTGTGTTATTTTATTTGATCAATTTATTATTTTATTCTCATTCTACGTGACTTTACCGAAAGAGCCAAAGAAGATTAATCCTTGCAGTCGCGAAAGCTTTAAATCGAAATTTAACGGGCGGGAATTCTAAGGTGGGGCAATGTTCCAGAGGTCATCAGAGACGTAATCACCGGTGACAGCGGCGGCACACAGAGGACTCTTATCCCGTAGCTACTACACACTGCTAGGGGCGGGGGAGAGAACATTATTTCTCACCACCAGTGGTGGGTTAGACAGCAATTATCACTCACTCCCTCACCACTGGTGGTGAGTTTAATATCAATTCTCACCACCAGTGGTGAGTAATAATTCACACAGCAAGATTCAGCAGCGATCAGATTTGCGACAGTTCACCTGAAGCTGCATCAAATATCGTCAGGACCAGCACCACAAAGTCAGAATCATGACACCTGAGAATCCCGTTTCATCACAACTCACTCTATGTGAGTCAATGGCCTCTATGTGAGTCTATAGGTCTCTGTGTGTGGCTATGGGTTTCTGTGTGAGTCTATGGGTCTCTGTTTGAGTCTATGGGTGTGTGTGTGAGTCTATGGGTCTCTCTGTATGACTACGGATGTCTATGTGAGTCTTATGGGTCTCTGTGAGTCTATGGGTCTCAGTGTGAGTCTATGGGTGTCTATGTGAGTCTATTGGTCTCTATGTGGGTCTATATGTGAATCCATTGGTCTCTGTATGTCTATGGATGTCTATGTGAGTCTATGGATATCTATGTGAATCCATTGGTCTCTGCATGTCTATGGATGTCTATGTGAGTCCATGGATCTCTATGTGAGTCTATTGGTGTCTGTATGTCTATGGATGTTTATGTGAGTCTATGGATCTCTATGTGAGTCTATTGGTCTCTGTATATCTATGGATGTCTATGTAAGCCTCTATGATGGTTTATGGTGACCGGCCATTATGAACCGCCCACCCCTACACTTTCACTCCCTTGTCCGGTATCTTATTTCCCCCCTCTTCTGAGTGCTCATCATCATTATCACCCATGTAGGCCAGGTTGTCGCTTCCAGCGTCATCGTCGCCCTTCGCCCTGGCCAGGGTGGTGATGTCTGGGATGTCGCTGCGGTGCCAGCGACACCGGATGAGGCGGTAGATGGCGACTCCCGGGATGAAGAGGCAGGGCAGGGCGATGAGCAGGATGATGATGAAGATCATCCAGGCCGGGTAGGGGAGCTGCTCCTTCTGCGGGAAGTCAGACTGCAACCGCCGGGCGAGGAACATGCAGAGAGACGCAGAGAGAGAGAGGCAGAGAGAGATGGAGAGAGGCAGAAACAGAGAGAGATGCAGAGAGATGGAGAGATGCAGAGAGAAAGAGAGGCAGAAACAGAGAGAGAGAGATGGAGAGAGAGACAGAGAGATGCAGAGAGACAGAGAGATGCAGAGAGAGAGAGACAGAGAGATGCAGAGAGAGAGGCAGAGAGAGAGAGAGACAGAGAGATGCAGAGAGAGAGAGAGGCAGAGAGAGAGACAGAGAGATGCAGAGAGAGAGAGGCACAGAGATGCAGAGAGAGAGGCAGAAACAGAGAGAGATACATAAAGACACTCGTGTAAACCTCTTTCCACTGGCACATCTGAACTGAGCCAGAACCAAACTGTGCTACACACGCCGGCGTCAGCAGTAATTGTGGCCAAGCAGGGCCAGGGGCTGGGCTGATGCCGCGTTCTACGCGTGTGACGTTGGTCAGTACGCAGTGAGCACGAACCACCTCCCACGGCGTTACCCCCCATGGTGTCACCCCCACAGCGCGACTGCGCCACCCCCACGGCATCACCTTCTACCGTCTCTGTCCATAATGGCCGACAAATGAGCGATAGAAACGGCCTGCGAGTGAATCACCGACCACGCAGATGTCAGCCAATCACACGGCGCTGCGCTAGCCAATGGGATTACTCGATCGGTGGATCTCTTCCCAATGAATCCACGCAGTGATTAACCCTCGGTGAATCGATGCTCTTACGTCGCTGTCGGATCGACTGAGCAGAATCGATAATGCAGACACCTCGATTCGGGCTCCACAAGACCAGACATGGGCAGACACGCCCCCACGAGGCAATGCCACGCCTACTTTCTTCTACATATGGGTAGATTGCCAATCGGTGATTTTGTGTGGTGTCTGGTTTGAGTTTTGTATCACAGCGCCGCAGGGCTCCCCGCTCGCTCTTGGGGAGGTTAGGGGTTGGATTCCACGGCCACCCTGGTTAATACTGTAGTGCAAGTACAGGAGACTCTCGATTATCTGCACGAATGACAGCCGCAAATAATTCAGAATAATTGAAAATCGCGTATTATCCAACAATATCCATTTCAGCGGATCTCTCGGCCAAAAACTCCTAATATAGGTAAAAATTATGTTTAAGTTAATAAATTTAATTTGTTAATGAACAAAACTAAAATCTTTAGAAAATAATTGACCGATCGATGCGCGTGCTCAGTGATAACACTTTTCTGCTCCCGCACAGCAGAAAACTGCGCCCACTGAGTGGACAACAGCAGAGCTACGCCAATCAACATCAATCGAACTCCGCCTATGGTTGTAAAGATATGCAACTACTTTACTGTAGAGGCGATCGCATGGATATCGGAGTAACTGGAGCAGATATTTGTTCGGTGTAAGCACGTGACTTGTAGCAAACATTTCCAAGAATAACAATGTGTAACCGTTTTTAGATGATTAATTTGGGCTTAAGGGAAAATCCATCAGTCATCAATTTATGTCAAAATCTCAGGTGCGCGGTTAATCCGCAAGTTGGATAAACGAAACGCGGATAATCGAGAGTCCACTGCACGCACTGTAACAGGACCACGACTGCCGCTACTTCCACACGCCGTCCGCATCACTCCCAGCGGACGTTAAAAACCCCGTGATGCCGACGGCGGCGGCGTCGTCGTCACGGTAAACAAGTCTAAGAATGACACTGCAGGTGACTCAATTGGGATGGCACGGCAGCAACGTCACCCCTTATTGGAGCACCGCAGAGCTCGGGCTATGGCTGCTAGCGGCGGTCCTGGCTCTCTACCAGCTCGCCATTGTGACGTGATAGGTGAGACGACAACACGTAACAGTGACACGTGACGTCACGCGAGACAGTGCCATGTGGCGTCTGCCGTTGACCAAAACTTCGTCTACGAGATGCTTTTCTTGTTAACGGCCACCGTTTGCCGCTAAGTGGTGGTGACGTCACCACGGCGCTCGTGACAGGCTAGGTGTGCATGCGCTCCCGGTTCTTTCGGAAAAAGTCACGTGTTAAGAGCCCGTTGCTGGCAGGGAGTCACGGGACAGACCAAGGTGCCATGTGACTTGACTGCTGTGCCAGGCTAGGTCCATGAGGAGGTCACGGCACAGACCCAGGTGACGTGGGCCGACGGACGAACACGCCAAGTTCCGTCACGTGCGCTTGCGTGACCGCGGTCGATCGACGGAGTGGCCGGTCACTGTCCAGCAGCGGAGCGCACGCGACTCACAAACTTGGGGTTCCAGGACTCGTAGGTGAGCGGAGTCTGGGCCTGCACGACGATGTAGGCGACGAAGACGACGACGAGGAGCAGGGGGCTGATGAAGCGCCACGTCACCATCCAGTAGTAGTTGGGTTTCCTCCCCGTCATGAACTTGAGGTCGCTGCTGAACCTGGATGCAGAGGTCATCAGGGTCATCGTGACGCGGGCGACCTCCACCACTCGTACCGTGTGTAGCTGTGTCTCTATCGCTGTCTCCTGCTTCTCACTGCCTCTTGCTCTCTCGTCTGCCTCAGTCTCCCTGTCTCTCTCATTGCATCTCTCCCTCTCTCTTTCCCTGTCTCTCTGCCTCTCTCTGTCTCTCGTTCTCTCTGTCTCCCGCTCTCTCTGGCTCAGTCTTGACAGTAATAGTGATGTCATTCCATCATCATCATCATGATCGTCATCCAGGCATGGTCAGTCCACTGCTGGATGGAGGCCTGAATTCCTCCCAAAATCAGAATATTTATCCTGGAGAAATCCAATGAGCTATGAGGCTCTTTTTTTTACAGATGTCCAGTAAGTGTACGTGAGAAAGTTACATGAAACAATACAAATAACGATAGGAGTGCAAAGTATAGGAAAGGTAAGCAAATCACTAACATATAAATAAATAATCTAAAGCTAAACCATTTTTATCTTACCAGGTAAGGCTCACTGAGCTCTATAGCTAATTTTTAGCACCGACCTGGCCACAAATGATTGCTCAACGAAGTGGCTTATCACGTGGAAATTTATAGCAGCCAAATAATCTAAATACGTGATGTGGATTCTGAATGTGCAAGGAAAAACCAGAAGACCCGGAGAAAAATCCACACGACATGAAAACTCCAAATATTTAACAGGCGTCAGGGTCGGGATCTAAGCCAGGACCTCTTGCACACCAGGCGAGGAAGACAACATTTAGTCACTGTGGCCCCTTAATTAAATATAAAATAAATACACTATATAAGTTTTAATTGCATAAGTACATCAGTTCCCAAGCTTGGGCAAGGCAACAAACCAAGAACAAGAACAGTCCCAGACCACACCAAGACAACACAGTCCCTCAATAAAATTGAACGTTAAAATGTAACCATCGACACACGGGTAAGGACCAAAGTTACACATCACACTACCAAATGTGGCTGCATCCAGCACGAATCTTCTCATTTATAATATTTTTTGAAGATGATGTTAAGGAAGGAAACGAGGTTGTTGTTCCAAAGCGTTGGTGCTGCAATGGCAAAGGCTTTGCCACCGATTCCAATTCTTGTTCTTGGGATAGTTAAAAGGCAATTTTATGGATATCTGAGCTTTCATGGGTTTGACAATGGGGTTCATGAATTATGGACGAACAAAGCCCAATGTACATTTCTTCTAGCATCGAGTGATGTGAGATCGGATTGAAAGTCGAGGTCGCAATGGTGGGTCCTGTACGGCACATCCAGTGCAAATCGAAGAGCAGAATGAGAAAACGTCTTGCGCCTTTTGAGTGATTCCTCGTAGCAGCGTCACGGAAGCCAACCAGAGTGGGAGAATGATCATCGCTTCAAAAATCTGCCATCCACCCAGGAGAACGCAGCCGCTCCTCACACGGGGAAGTGACTCCACCGTCAGTCCATCTCCCAACCCGCGGGGGTTGGTGGATCACCACCCCGGCTCCCGGGACGCTCTCGACCTCCCCTGCCCCCGCGTGGGGCGGTATCGGCGCAGAGTACAGTGCGGTGGGGTGCAGCGTGGTGCGGTCGTGCGGGGGTGCTGGGGGTAGTGCGGTGGGGGGCGGTATGGTGGAGTATGGTGGGGGGCGGAATGGTGGGGGGTTCGGTGTGGTGTGGCAGGATGAGGGGGCGGGGGGGTTTAAAGTCCCCGCGTGGTCTCCGCCACGCAGACGGCGGCGTCTGGCACAGACGGAGGGCGCGGCCACGGCTCACGCACCACATCAACAACACGCACACACACACACACTAAAACATACACACACTCACACATACACACACATACACTCACACACATACACTCACACACACTCACACATACACACACACACATACACTCACACATACACACACATACACACACACTCACACATACACTCACACACTCACACATACAACAACCGCCATTCGCCACTAAGTGGCAGTGACGTCACCACGACGCTTGTGCCAGGCTATGTGCACCCTGAGGCCACGTGAAGTGTCGAACGCCCGCTAGCAGGAGGTCATGGGGCAGACCCAGGTGCCACGGGTCGACTGACTGAGATGACTGGCTGATGCACCAACTGTGCCCCCTATTGTGCCAACCTGCTGTGCTTTAGCCACCCGGCGTTACGCTCGTTGTTCTGAGCGTCGCTCCTCCACCCTCCGTTGTTGTTGGAGGGCGACTACCTCCAACTGTCCAGTAGCATCCTTCACGAGCCTCTTCCACAGAGGCCGATCTTGACACCGCTGGTACCAGTCATCGGCAAGTCCACTCAGCTCCACGTCCTCCTGTACCACATCACTCCATCTCTTCTCTAGCCCGTGCCGGGCCCGCTTAGCCCCCTCAATCCGGCCGAACAAAAGCTGTTTCGGCATGCGGTGGCTGGGCATGCGGGCTACATGACCCAGCCATCGCAGCCTTGCCCGCCGGAGGAGCTCACCGATGGGACCTTGCCCAGATCTTTCAAGGATTTGAGAGCTCCTCACACAATCCAGTCTGGTTAAACCCAGGATGGATCGTAGGCAGGCCAGCCTAAATGTTTCTAACCGGCGAAGATGTTCCATTAGGGGGGTCCACGTTTCGCAAGCGTAGAGAAGGGAGGGAATGACCGTGGCCGAGAAGACCTGAAGCTTAGTGCGGAGCGACAGACAAGGTAGCTTCCACACAGCGTTACACAACCGATGAAAAGATATTGCCGCTCGACTGATTCGGAGTGAGACCTCTGCTGTTAAACTGGAGCCAGTCATAAGCACACTGCCCAGGTATGGGAAACTCTCCACTCTCTCCACAACTGCCCCATCACCGCTTGGGAGTTGTGGGGGTGGAGTGTCTGATGGTACAAAATACCCAGGCAGGTGCTTAGTTTTGGTGGGGCTGATGGTAAGGCCCCACCTATTAGTGGCACGCTCCAGTCTCAGCAGCAGCGTCTCCAACTCCTCCTCTGACTGAGCAGCTATTACCAAATCATCAGCATACATAACGTGGTTGAGCAATAGGGAGCCATCCCTTGACCGCACCCGGGCATCGATCAGCCTCCCATTATATGTGTACCATATGGAGATTCCCCCGGTACAGCTGTTGAAGGCTTCACGAACTACGTGGTCAAAATAGATGTTAAATAATGTGGGAGCCAGAGGACATCCCTGTCGCACCCCAAGGTGTACAGGGAATGGCTCCGACTCCCGGCCACGTAGTTTTACCCGGGCCCGCTCACATCATGAAGGTCCTTAATGATCGTGAGCAGAGGGTCAGGTACTCCAAAAGCACGAAGAACGACCCAGAGCCCAGGCCTACTGATGGTATCATAGGCCTTGACCAGGTCAATAAAGCAGAGATGTAGGTCTTGTTGGAATTCCCTACACCTCTGCTGTAGCAGACGGACAGAAAATATGGCATCTGTGCAGGACCGCCCTTTCCTGAAACCGCAATGGGGCTCCGCAAGCCTCTCCTCAGCGTGCTTGGCAAGGCGATGCTGAATAATCCTTGCCAGGACCTTTCCTGGCACACTGAGGAGTGAGATGCCCCTGTAGTTGTTACAGTCTGTGCGGTCCCCCTTCTTAAAAAGGGGGACCACCAGGGCATCCTTCCAATCCTGCGGAACCCGTCCAGTGGTCCAGACTGTTGTTATGATGTCATATAGGGCAGTCTGTGCACAAACGCCACCCTCCCTCAGCATTTCGCTTGGGAGATCATCTCTGCCCGCTGCCTTTCCTGGTCTCAGACTCCGGATCGCCTTCAGTACTTTCCTCAACAGATGGCACCTCAGCCAGCCACTCACAGGGGTGACTTCTTCCAATATTTGAGGCACCGCAGCCTCAGCATGGTCATCCTCACATTGTGCCACGATGTTTTCCTGGCTGAGGGATTTTCCCTCCCCCAGGACCTCACAGAAATGCTCAGCAAATCTGCAAACCTGTTCCTGGGGGTCGGAGATTGGATCACCGTTTTTCCCCTAATGATGGTAATAGGTGTGGCACTGCAGGTTACTTTTTTGATGGAGTTAAATAGAGATTTGTGATCACGGGCCACTGCAGGTTACTTTTTTGATGGAGTTAAATAGAGATTTGTGATCACGGGCCACTGAGGCAGACTCCATCTCCTCAGCAACCCGTGACCACCACCCATCCTTGCAGCGCCTCACGGCTCTCCGAACCTCCGAGCGAAGGCTGCGGTAAGCCTCCTCATTCTCTGACGTGGGATTCTGTAGCCGATGACAGTGGGCCTGTCGCTTTTTCTCAACCATCCTGAACACCACCTCTGTCAGCCAGAGTCTCTGGGGAGGTCTGGACCGCATACCTAGAGCAGCCATTGCAGCTGCATGAGTCACAGTCCTAAACCTCGCCCATTTACCCTCGACATCAGGAGGAATCAGGGACGATGCCAATCCCAGCCGCAAGCGATGATAAAATTCTTGCTTGCAACTTTCATCAGATAACTGAGACCAAGCCACTTTAGGTCGGAATGGGGTCCTGGGTGTACACCCACCACCGGAGTGGAAGAATGGCAGGCACATCTTACAGATGACTAGTCGATGGTCAGAGGGCAGATCAGCTCCACGGTAGGTCCTGGTGTCAAGGATATGGGCTCGTATCCGCTGGTCCGTCACTATATAGTCCAGCAGATGTTCTTGCTTGGACCCGGCATGCATCCATGATGTTGTGTGGATGCGCCGATGCCGGAACAGCGTGTTGGTAATTACAAGCCCATGGGCTGCACAAAAATCTAGCAGCCTCCTACAGTTGTTATTGAGCTGATCTGGCCCATGCTTTCCAATCACTCCAGACCAGGTGCCAGTATCATGACCAATTCGGGCATTGAAGTCACCCAACAGGATGACTCTATCCCGAGGGGCCACTTTAGCCAGCACCTGTGACAGGAGGTCATATAAGGCATCTGACTCATCGGCTTTGCCTGCATCCCTCCACGGATGTTCATCTTCGGTGGGGGCATAAG